AATTGAAAGGTACAATACTATTTGAATGTGTAACATTGGATGCATTACAAACAGTGTTATTTAACAACTTGACACTTGACAATATGGAATGAAATTTTGCATTTAAATAAAAAAAATATAGACCTTGACTATGTCTACCAATCCCATTCAACTTGTCATTGCAAAGATTCTGAATGAGACAAAAATCAGGATAGAAAGTAATAAAGCAATTGTTAGAGGCAGTGAATTTTGAGATAGAAAATAAGTTGTGTTTAAACTTTGGTACATGTAAAACTTTAGAAAGATAAACACCATTATCCAGATCAATTGAACCTATATGTCGAATATGTGTTTTAGTGCCATTTGATAATCCTACAAGATATTTGGATGAAGGCTCTATGGTGATGAGAGATTTTAAGAGTGCATAATTAGAAGTCATATGATTTGTGGCCCCTGTATCTATGATCCAACTATTATCATCCAAGCAAGATAGTAAAGCAGTGTAAGTGCCTGCCAAATTGGCGGCTGGGGAACTATTTTCTTTGCCCAATAGCTGAAGAATTTGTTGGTATTGTTCTGAAGTCAACACTGGTCCAACTTGTGAATCAACATTGCTAGCATCTGCAACATTCGAGGTTGAACTTCTGACTGTGTTATGAATTTGTGCCTGATTAGCTGAAGCCCTTGTTTTGGAATTTGTTTTCCCTCGTGTGAATTGGTAATCCATTGGATAGCCATTCAATTTATAGCAATTATCTCTTTTACGCCTAGGTAAGTGACAGTAGTCACATTCAACAGATGGTTTCTTCCCTTTGTATCTCTGCCCCTGATTTTGATTTTTATTATTTTTGTTCTGAGCATAAAGAGCTGTGGTCACCTCCGAATTAACATTCATTCCAGTCAAAATCCTTTGGCTCTCATCTTGATTAATTATCGAATAAGCTTGCTTTACAGTTGGCAAATGATTCATCAACAAAATCTGACTTATCATCAAATATGAGTCGTTTAAACCAATCAAGAACTATAGTAGTTTTTGTTGATTGAGGTGTTCAAGATACGCATTTGCAGAAATATTGTCTGCAGTCAGTAGGCTAACCAAAGAATCCAGCTCATCCCAAAGTGATTTAAGCTTATTGTAGTATATCGCCATTATGTTACTACCTTGTGTCAAATTGATAATTTCACGATGAATCCCAAACACTCTAGTGACACTAACCTTATGATACTGTTCTTTCAAATCTTGCCAGACATGTGATGCATTTTTCAAATAGACTATTCCATTAAAAATTTCTTTTGAAACAGAATTGAAGATCCATGCAAGAACCAGAGAATTACATCTATCCCACTTTGGAACTAAACGAGCATGTACCGAAGACTTCATATAGGATCCATCAACAAAACCTAGCTTATTTTTGGCACACAATGAAATAGTCATTGCTCGGCTCCAGATTCCATAATTTTCGGTGCCTACAAGTTGCTTAGATACTAATATAGAACCTAGTGTGTCCAAAGGATGTACATAGAGGGGTGAATTAGAGTCAACCGTAAGTACTATTAAGGAAGATGTTGAAGATATCCCAACCGAAGCAACAAATCAGTAACAAATCCGTCCAGCAGTAAATCAAGGAATGTAAATGCTGACAGCTTTTGATTTTCTGTGTAAATGACTTTATGCTGTATATTTCCATAGATAGCTTTACGTTATATATTTTCCATAGATAGCTCATTAGAACTTGTATTTAAACAGAATGTTACTAGCAATACAATGTGTTCAAAAATCAAAATTTAGAGCAGTGTTTTCTTCTATATGGTATCAGAAGAACCAACCCTCTAATGAGATTCTTTTTTTCTGATCATGGCTGTTACTCCTACACAATCCTCTGCTTTCGAATCACAAATCATCACCATCAACCCAACCACCACCATTAATGAAAAGCTTACCCCTGCCACATTCCCTCAATGGGAGAGCTTAATTTGAAGCACTGCTCATAGGTTACGACCTCATTGATTTTGTCACAGGAAATCGTCAATGTCCAGCATTGATGCAACCAACTCTGCTGCCTATAAAGCCGCACACTCCCACTGGGTGCATCAAGATAAACTCCTTCTCCATGCCATTCTTGCTTCCACCTCCACAATAATCACTCCACTTCTTACATCCTGCAAAACGTCTCAATAGGCCTGGTCAACTCTTACTCGGCTTTATGCGGGAAAATCTCGAACACGAGCCATGCAACTCAAGGAAGATTTAACATTGAGCACTCGTGGCAGTAGATCTGTCACAGAATTTCTTCAAGGCGTAAAAATGATTGCTGATGAGCTTGCAAGCATAGATCACCCTGTTTCGGATGATGATCTAACACTATATATTTTAAACGGCCTTGGACCCGAGTTCGTGAGATTGCAGCACCCATTCGTCCTCGAGAAACCTCAATGAAATTTGAGGAAATTCATGACTTGCTGGTTGGTCATGAAAATTACATCCGTCGGCTGGAAGCCCAATCGGCAACTCTACTAGCCACCGCCAACTACACTCAATGAAAAGGGAGCTCCTCTGGCAATGCTGGGTCCTTTTCGCAGAAGCACTCTTCAAATGGAAATCAAGGTTGTGGCAATCAAGGTCGTGGCAAGCATGGGCCATCTGATTCGGGCTTCAAGAAATATAAGCCAAAATGTCAACTTTGTGATCAAATGGGCCATAAGGCCAGGACCTGCTTCAAATTCAATTCAACTGAAACAACAGCAAATTGTGCCGCCTCCTCTCAAGGAAAAAATAAAAAATGGCTTGTTGATTCTGCAGCCTCCCACAACATGACCACTGACCTCTCCAATCTTTCAATACACTCGGAGTATGATGGTACTGATGAGGTGGTAATTAGTGATAGTTCAGGTTTGCCTGTATCTCATGTTGGCTCTTTGTCTTTTGCTTCACCTAATCGTATTTTTCATTTACATGATACTCTTTGTGTTCCCACCATTAAAAAAAATCTTATCTCAGTTCATCATTTCACCAAACACAATAATGTCTATTTAGAATTTCATCCCTCTCATTTCTTGGTGAAGGATCGGATCACGGGGGCGACACTATTCAAAGGTGACTGTGAAGATGGCGTGTACCCACTACCAGAATCATTGGCCAAGGTTTCAAAAAAAGTTGTTGCTTACGTTCATGAACGCACCACCACTAATGGTTGGCATAAAAGACTTGGTCATCCCTCGTCAAAAATTGTTAATCATGTTATTCGTACGTTTTCTTTACCCACCAAAAATAATGGGCACTCATCTCTTTATAGTGCATGCTCTCAAAATAAATCTCATCGTCAACCTTTTAATTCTCATGGCTTAACTAGCGATGCTCCCTTGGAATTAATTTATTCAGATGTTTGGGGTCCTGCTCATGATATTGGTATTGATGGTTCAAAATATTACATTATTTTTGTTGACCATTATACCAAATATATTTGGCTCTATCCCGTGTCCAATAAATTAAGTGTGCAAACCATTTTTCCTCAATTTCGACATCTTGTGGAAAACAGATTTAACAAAAAAATCAAGAGTCTATACTCGGACAATGGTGGCGAATATATTGGGTTAAAGTCTTATCTATCTGTCCATGGAATTGCACACTATACAACTGCTCCACACACTCCACAACAAAATGGCATGTCTGAAAGACGACATCGCCATCTTGTTGAAATAGGGCTCACACTTCTCATGGATGCTCATATGCCTCGCTCATTTTGGCCTTATGCTTTTCAAGCTGCTGCTTATCTTATCAACCGAATGTCGAGTTCCATATCACAAAATAAATCCCCATTTGAGCATCTGTTTAACCAAGCACCAAATTACATGAAACTTAAACAATTCGGCTATTTGTCATATCCTTTTACCAGGCCCTATAATAGTCATAAGTTGGAGCCCAAAGCCAAGGCATGTGTGTTTGTGGGTTACTCTCTTTCTCAAAATGCTTATCTATGTATGGAGCTCACAAGGCACCGTATTTACTACTCACGTCACGTTCTGTTTGATGAAGGGAACTTTCCCTTTGAGAAGTCCAACTCTCCAAACCGTGAAGCCTTCTCCCTGCGCTCACCTGGAAATCACTCTCATGTGTAGATTTACTTGCCAAAATTACCTTCTCCTTCGACAATATCCACAATTCCGGCAATGGGTACCTTCACGGATTACTCACCTCTAGTACGTCCTCTCTGGCGCCGACTCCCTCTCAGGTAAATTTCTCTCCTTCATCTCCGTTGATTGCACAAGAAATATCTTCATTTTTTATTCCCGAAATTCATGAATCTGCTCATATCCAAACCGAGTCTGTGATGCCATCTCCTGTTGATTTGCGCACACACACTATGGTAACCCGATCAATGAACAACATTTACTGACCAAAAAAATCTTTTTTGGTCACCAAGCATCCCATCCCTCCATCATTGGAACCCCACATGGTCTCTGAGGCCATCTCTGACCCCAGAGGGCGTGAAGCCATGTCCTTAGAATTAACTGCCCTCATGAGTCATGATACATGGCAACTTGTTCCACCATCAAGAGGGTGCAATATAATTGGATGTAAATGGGTTTTTCGAATTAAGCGACATGCAGATGGTTCAATTGACCAGTTCAAAGCCAGACTTGTGGCAAAAGGCTTCAATTAGAGGCCTGATTTGGACTACAAAGAGACTTTTAGCCCTATGGTAAAACCCGTTATAATTAGAACAGTTTTATCTATTGCTATGATGTAGGGATGGTCACTTAGACAATGAGATATAAACAATGCGTTCTTGAATGGTCATCTTACTGAGAAAGTCTTCATGAAACAACCCCAGAGGCTTTTGGGATTCAGAAAAACCAGAGTATGTGTGTTGCCTTAAAAAGGCAATATATGGACTCAAACAAGCACCTCGTGCTTGGTACTCAGCTCTCAAACATGCCTTGCTTGAGTTCGGTTTTATGAATGCAAAATCTGATTCATCTCTATTTGTGTATCATCATGATTTTGTTCTTGTCTACTGTTTATGTATGTTGATGATTTGGTAATTACTGGTAATAATTCGCCATTTGTGGAAAGAATCATTGATCAGCTTGGAAAAAAATTCTCTCTTAAAGATTTAGGGCCTCTTCACTTCTTTCTCGGCATAGAAGTAATACCAACAAGAGATGGAATATTTCTAAGTCAACACAAATATATCCGAGAGCTACTTGGAAAAACAAGTATGAAGGGTGCCAAAGATGTTACAACACCTCTGTCAACCTCAGTTTCTTTAAAGCTTGATGATGACACTTCCTCATTTGATGCCACAGAATATAGGAGAGTTATTGGTGGACTGCAATACCTCTCATTGACTAGGCTTGATATCAGCTTTGCAGTCAACAAACTCTCTCAGTTCATGCATGCTCCTACTACAACTCACTGGACAACCACACAGAGATTGCTGAGATATTTGAAGAATAAAATTTTCCAAGGCATCACCATAAGAAAAACAGCTAATCCAGCCCTTTTATGTTTCTCAGATTCGGACTAGGTAGGTAATTTGGACAATCGAAGTTCGACATCAGCGCAATTAGTTGTACTTGGTTCAACACCTATATCATGGAGCTAAAAAAAACAATGTTCCATTGCTCGCTCATCTACCGAAGCTGAATATCGAGCATTAGCAACAGCTGCTGCCAAGTGTATGTGGATCCACTCTCTTCTTCAAGAACTAAAGTTTCCACTCAAAAATCCACCACTGCTGTTATGTGACAACTTGGGAGCCACTCACCTTAGCTTCAATTCGGTTCAACACTCAAGGATGAAACACATTCAAATTGATCTTCATTTTGTTCGTGACTTGGTTCAGAAAAATGTGCTTAATGTCCGTCATGTTCATACCAATGATCAACTTGCTGACTTGTTGACCAAGCCTCTCTCACGGCAACATACAGATCATCTCAAGAACAAGATCGGTCTTACTAATGGAAGTCCGTTCTTGCGGGGGCGTATTAAGGAAGATGCTGAAGATCTGTCACAATCCCAACCAAAGCAACAAATCAGCAACAAATCCGTCCAACAGTAAATCAAGGAATGTAAATGCTGATAGCTTTTGATTTTCTGTGTAAATGACTTTATGCTGTATATTTTCATAGATAGTTTTACGGTTATATATTTTCCATAGATAGCTCATTAGAACTTGTATTTAAACAGAATGTTACTAGCAATACAATGTGTTCAAAAATCAAAATTTAGAGCAGTGTTTTCTTCTATAGGTACTACTGATTCTTCATTTGAAGTCGCCATACAATTGTCAAGAATCTTGAGTTGGGGATTAAAGAGCTTCAAATCTTCGACGAGCTTTCACAAAATGAAATCAAGTATGACTTTGAGCTTCGCGATCAAGAATCTTGAGCTGGAGATTAAAGACCTTCAAATCTTCGATGAGCTTTCACAAAATGAAAATGAGTATGACTTTGAGCTTCGCAAGAGCAAAAATTGAGTATTTGATTGATCTGATTTCCGATCTAAAAGCGGAAGATTTCGTGCTCTGATACCATGTTGGAGAAAGTGAGAGCACTAAAGAAGAAGAAATTTGGGGAAAATCTGCACTGCTTCTATTATTGCACGTTTTCTGTTCACATATTACAATGGTAAAATATGCAACTTGCTCAGTTAACTCTAGTTACAATAAACCAACTAATTAACTAGACAACTAACTAACCAGCAACTAACCACTTTACAATATTTACAATATATACAGTAAATATTAGTGTTGTAGGGGAAAAAAATTGATGGATATTAGTTCATTTTTAAGTGAAAGAAAAGATTATAATATTTTATCTATTGAAATATTGTTGGAAGAAAATATTAAATTGGGTGGAAACTATGGTTTGGATAATTTTAAATAAAAATTGATTGACTTGAAATAGAAATGACAAAAAAAAAAAAAAATCAGAATTCTTGTATGAAGCTTCTTTTTCCTAAATAATGTTTTTTATTTAAAAAAAAATTAATTAATGGGGTTAAAAAGACATTTATTGGTGGCTATTTAGCATCACTTTTAATTAAACACAGTATATATTTTGATAATCCATAAAATCTCCTGATCTTGCAAGTTGAGTTCGAAAGTGGAGCCCTCATTGGGTTTCAGGCCGTGTGAGAATATTTTTCAACGTTTTGGAGAACTCATATAAAAGAGGACCTCAAATCTAACTGTGGATGATAAATATGTTTGAATAATTCAGATTTTTTTTTTTTTTTTAAAACTAAAATATCTGAATCAATTTACACGCATTTCAATTAATCCTCAGAAAGTATTTCACTTAAATCGTGGATGTTCGATAAAAAATCAAACTTGAGACCATACGTCTATCAACATTATTTTTAATTCGTCTTAACTATCTGAGTTATCCACGGATGGGTCAAATAACCTTGCGACTCGAAGATAAGACCCTTTGGATATAACTAATCCAGTGATTAAATGGCTTGTCATCTGATCACAAGAGAAAAGGTAAACTATAACACTATTAAATTTTACAAAAATCCCAATATATTTTAATAAAAATGGTCATTATATTTTGACAAATATATATATAAAATAATCAAGTATGTCTATTGTACTCTACACTTAGACTTTTAGTATCTACAAATTTATTATTGTTGAAGATGATCAAATCAATTTTGACTTGAGCATTGACATTTATAACCAATGAAGCAACCAAAAATCAAAGTTTGAATAACAATGCAATATCTATTAGTTTGTTTTCTTCTCAAAGACAAGTTGTTATATAACCACGTGAGTGAATCAACTTCACATAAAAGTTACATATAGTAGCCAATTTCTACATTTTGTATGAATTAGATATTCTTTGAAATATTTGATTCCTTAGTGAAAGCTCAAAAAGATTATTGGGGGATGAAGAGAGAGCCAAATGTCTAGAATATATCCAAGTAGTAACATGTTATCCATTCCACGTTCTAATAAATTTAGGTCACCTCTGTTTTTTTTCTTTCTATCGTTTATTTTTACAAATAATATGATTGGTGACTATTAAACTGAAAACCTACGTATCATATATGTCTTGGTTTGTGATATGGTTGATATATCATAGATTTTTTTTTTATATTTATATTAGAGTCGTACAATATATACAAAGTGACATGTAATTATGTATACTTGTAACATCGTTCAATTTAAATTGTTTAATATATCTTTAACTTTAAGTCACCCAATCATATTAAAATCCATCAAGTTTATATATACATATATATATCTCTCTTTTTTTGGTTAAAATTTCTGAAAAAAATATAGAAAAAAATTTATAAAGTTGAGATAAATTCCAGATTGAATGAACAAAAAAGAAGTACTCTAATCAAATGAAAATTTACCCAGTGTTCTGGCAAATGGGCTGAGAGTGGGCTTACAACAAAGAAGCTAGGCCCAATATCTATAATTTCTTACATTAGCAATGATATTTGTACAATGCCTCTTACAAAGAGGCTTTGTACAAACGGCCACGTCAGTGTCATGTGACATGTGGGCCACGCTACTTAATACCCTAAAAATTAAAAAAAAAAAATTAAAACGCAAAATTTCCAAATCAAATTCCCTCTCAAATTTTACAATCCTTAAATCTGATTTTCTATTTCTTCTTTGCCATTTTTCAATTTTCAATTTCTTGTTCTTGTTCTCTATTGCTCTTCTCCATTTTTCATTTTTCTATTTCTTCTTCTCCATCGCTCTTTTCCCCGTCGACAAACCAAACCCTAACCCTAACCATTGAAACCTTAGAGAGTTTAGCTCTGTCATTCCAAAAGCTTCTAAAATATGACGGAACTAAAAGAGAGAAGTAAACAGAGTGCCCGCCGTGGATTCTTCAAAATTCCGCTGTTACCTCCGCCGCAACTTTTTGCCAGAAAAGCGTGAATCTCTTAATACGGATAAGTCCTCTTCAAAATTTAGATTGATTTTGAATCTTAATTTCTGAAACCTAGTTGTAAAACCATGTGTATGGATCAATTTTGATCCATTGTAGCGTAGAAATGTGGCTTAGCTGTATAACAAAGCAATTGAACCAATACGCCATTTGTAATTTGTCCATTTTATCTTTTGCCATCTTTTCTGTCAAAAAAAGATTTTTGGAATCGTTTTTTTGCCAACATTGTCAATTGAGCTACAATGACTGTTAATTAACTTATGTCATTTCTAATTGTTGCAGGAGAATTCTATTAGAAATGGTCAGAGTAATGCTTCAAATACTAATTGGAAAAATGGTTAAGGGAAAAATTATGTAAAAAAAAAAAAAAAAAGGTCGCAGGGATAAGTGCTTTTACCTTTTTTATTTTTTGGTTTACGATTTCTGTTAATATAAGATTTCAACTAGTTATTTGTTTTTTATTTATTGATAAATAACGATACTTTTATTATATAATTGTAGGATTGTTGGATTAAAAATTAAAAAATGGCGAAGAAAAAATAGAAAATCAGATTTAAGGATTGTAAAATTTGAGAGGAAAATTGATTTGAAAATTTTGAGTGATTTTTTTTTTTTTAATTTTTAAGGCATTAAGTAACGTGGCCACATGGCACTGACGTGGCATGGTCAGTTTGCGCGAAGCTGTAAGAGGCTTTGTACAAATAACATTACTGTATTTTTGGGGAGAATAAGAAAAGACAAGCGCACATACATAAAAGCCTTTGTTGTTTCCTTAAAAGCTGGAACTTTGCAGGAACAATTGGCAGAGCAGAGCAAAACAATGCCAACTTCTACATTAAACCACACTTTAATCCTATCTTTTTTGCTTCTTCTTCTACTCTCTTTACTTGTTCCTGTTATCATCAACACTCCCAAGTCTCAGCCATCTCTTTCAGTAGTAAATCACAACCCTGAAACGGCCCCCTCCACCACCACCACCACCACTACCACTACTGAGATATTTGGAGTCAAGATTGAGAAGAACCCTCCTCAGTCTAAGCTTGATGAGCTCGATGTTTCCTCCTGGCCCAAGTGAGTAAAGTTTGCATCTTTGTCATTGTGGCTTCTTCTTTTGTTGTCGGTTCTTGTTCTTTTTGATGGCCTTTTGTAGAAAGATTTGTCCTTTTTGTTATTATTGTGTTGTTTATTATTGAGTTTAGGGTTGTGCTTGTGTTTGTGGGTTTGTGCCTTTTTTGGGAGTGGGACTATAGGAGTGGTTTTGTGGTAAATGGCTGATGGGGTTTTGAGAAAATGAACAGTTGTATTATGCAAAATCAAATCTGAGTTGTTTTTTGGTGTAAGGGAGTTGAAATTGGTTGGTTTTTTGGCACTTTCAGAAGCTTGCTTATGGACTTTTATCATGTGTTCTCAGTTAGGCTTGCAATTTAGTGTTAAAGTTGCCATTTTTCAGCGCTTTCCAACACCCTTTCTGCACATTTTGCTTCTGTTGTTCACCATTGCAGTGAAAATTCAATTTTTTTTTTTTTTTTTTTTTTTTAATGGTTTGGAGAATTGAGAAGATTCTGAAAAGACCAAACTTTGCTTGTGATTTCATTCATGGAAATTTCGTTTTCTATGCTTTGGCCTATTATGAGTCAATATTCTTGTTCAATCAGCAAATGACAGATTTGATATCGATCTCTGCTTTTCGGATGGCTTGAAAGCGTTTACTTTTGTTTTGAGTGTATTATTTTTCGTTGGAAGTTTTCAATATATTGGGCTGCAAGTTGATTACTTTGAGTGGCCTTTGTTATAATTGATAGGTTCTTTAGAAGAAAAGAGGAAGATGAAGATGATCATAACTTATTATAACTTTGACAATGCTTTCATTCTAGATAAAACAGTTCTTACCTTTTTCTTTTCTAGTGGAGAATGGAAGTTGATTTATGATAGGATGTAGGTGTTTAGCTGATTGTAGGTGTGAATTTGCTCCTATAATTTGGAAAAAGGTGCAACACCCTCTAGATAAGGAGTTGTAATCTTTGAAGAAAGAGACCATTTTTGTTGATTTTTAGCACATAGTATAATCACCGTTGACCATTTGGTATTAATCACTTTTGGTTGCTAGGCCTGCCTGTGCTTTATGAGATTGGTTACGGTTTTAGCATATACCGCGTGTAGGACAAAATTACGTGAGGTTCAATCCTGGTGACTTTCCTCTGTTCATCCAATTATGTCTTCACTTGTGTATGTTGTTAATGTAACACTAATTAGAACCTGAAGAAAGCTTAAAAGTTTTGAAATGTTTGAAGCATAGAGATAGAAAAGGAATGGAAAGAGGTTCGAGTTTCTTCAATATTTAATGTCACTCCACTTCTAGGTCTTCGGAAAGTGGTCAATTTAGGATAAGTTGTTCTTGAATCAACTTCCTTCTTTTCTGCCTTGTTTCTGTTAGCATGCCTTTCTTATCAATTTAGTATTCATAAGTGATACCAAACTGACCTCATTTGAACTAAGTTCCACAACACCGCAATGTTGAGTCTCAAAGATTCAGTAAAAATATTCGTTTCGTGAACCATAATATATACAGCTCTATGAATGTAGAAGTCAAAAGTTGGCCTAAATTTTTATGTCAATGCACCATCAGTATTTGTTAGCTCACTACCAACATTGCACCCATACTCTTTCACCAACACCATAATAAATTGTGTGTATCTATTATATATTTGACTAAACATGTTCTGATTCATGATTATGCATATTGTGAATTCAACTGACTAGTATTAATGAAATGATTACTTTGATGTTTAATGAATAGGTGGGAATGCCCGCCAAGCAAATTTCCCTGGACATTCAAAGCCACAGAGACAATGTATCTTCTCGAGGGGAAAGTGCAGGTTTATGTTGAAGGGCATGAAGGATCATTTGAAATTGGGGCCGGCGATTTGGTTATCTTCCCCAAGGGCATGAACATTACTTGGGATGTTCTTGAAGCTGTGAACAAGCACTATAGCTTGGAAGAGTAATGTATATAAATAAGGCTTAACTTGCTGAACTTATCAATCAGTAGAATTTATGTAATAAAATTGTACCTAAACTCTTATAGGGGGGAATTCAGTTAGTGGATTATCTAATATAATTATCTATCTTTTAGTTGATGTATTTTGTTTTGCTTTCATGATAATATAGTTTCAGAATGAGTTCGATGATTGAACAACCTATGATATGCTTCTGTATGTTTACTTCCAACTTAATCATTTTCCGAATTTTTTGACATACACTGTTGAGGCTGGAGCAAGAAAAAATCATGACTTTTGACGTACATTGTTGAAGGTGGAAGTGTGGAGAAATTGGAGTCACATTTCAAATGGCACCGGTGCTTGTAGACCCTTTTGAATCTCGCTAGAGATTTTGTAGGAAGTCTTATTGATAGATCATGGTGAATATCTTGAGACAAGTTACACCCTTTTCTTCTCTGTTTCATTCATGGAATTTGTGTATGTTTGAAAGCAATCAAAGATGCAAGTTAAATTTCAGAGTAATTAATAGTAGAAACCAACTTAAACAAGAAGTCATTAATGTTGTAAATTCCAAATTAGGCCAAATTAGACAATTAAAGATGAGGCTCTATAATAGAAAGAAGTAGCAGAAAGGCTTTTCATGTTCTGGGCCTCTGGGTTGACTTGAATCTCCATAAACCACTAGGTACAATACCCCAATACTCCATGGTCCACACTAACATAAACTTTTTTTTTTTTTTTTGCTTTTTGAGTGACTGAGAATGTTTGGGTTAATTTATGCGTATCTCAACTAATTCTTAGGCCGGATAAATCCCTTCAGTTCTGGGGTTGACTTGAATCTCCATAAACCACTAGGTACAATACCCCAATGCTCCATGGTCCACATTAACATAAACATTTTTTTTTTTCTTTTTAGGTGACCGGGGGTGTTTGGGTTAATTTACGTGTATCTCAACTAATTCTTAGGTTGAATAAATCCCTTTAGTAGTCACCCATATTAGTAACCCAAGTGGATTGAACTTAGGATTTCTTGAATAATACACCCAAAAGTCCTAATTGACCGCTGGACCTCCTAGTGGTGGTCCACACTAAGATAAACTTAAAAACACTTTTAAACTTTATTTCGATTTGCAAAGAATTGATTCTCCATTGTAATATAAAAAAGGTCGTACTTTATAAAATCAAAATAATTTTCTTAAGAAAATTTATACAAAATTGAAAAGACGTAGAAATTTTTTCATGTATTTGTAATTTTGCATCCGAAGCTCCTCTAGTTCTTAACAATTGAAGGTGGCATTAGATCATCGGTTAACTCATAAAACGGGTTTGGCAATAAGCTTCATCTCGTTAGTATCCAAGTTGTACCAATAGAGGGATGAACAAGTACTATGCTGTACGAGCATATACCCAAGTTTTCTGTTGCAGGTCTCTAAAACTAGCCATGGCAGAAACACACCTGTAAAGAAACTTGTTAAATCAGTTGGTCTATTTACTATGAAATCAAGGCAGATTTTGTGGTGCTTAATCCAAATGCTTTCAACTGAATCCTTCCAAACCCATATCTCTGACACATCCGAGAAGATTGGATTGGCCAAGCAAAGTGATTCTTTCATCTCCAATAACTTCATTCTGTAATTTCGACTGCTTCCAAGATTCTTCATTTTCTGAACCCAACAAACAGGTGTAACAATGGTCAAGCTGTTGATGTTATAACAGAGAATGAAAGCACCACTACCTTATATTTTTGGGTTGATGCCTCGTGGACCAACACTACATAGCGGACAAGACTTTGCTGATGGCATCATAGACACCTAACCTGGTTATGGTTGAAGAGGAATACTGATCAAATAGCACCAAACTATTAAACCATACCTTATAAAATCTAAAGCTACATGGGAATGGAATAGAATCTAATTTCGTTGCTTTCACACCCGTCTCATCCAATTTATATGAACAGTAATAACCATATGAACAAAGAACCAAGAATCCATTAATGCACTCTGCCGAGAAACCATCATGAGTTTTGACAGACATTGTTGAAGATGAAGTTTAGAGAAATTGGAGTCAGATATGAGATTGCACCAGTGCTTGCAGACACTTTTGAACCTGAGTAGGGATTAATAAGAGAAAAAATAATTTGTCCTACTCCACTTCTAGTTCTTCACAAAAGGCTAAATTTAGATTGAATTCTTCCTAAATCAACTTACTTCTTTTCTGCCCTGTTTCTGCTAGCATGCATTTCTTATCAATTTAGTATTCCGATTCATCAATCTTAGTATAGTACATATGTGATGCCAAACTGACTCAAGTATTTTTCCTGAAGAGTAAACTACTTTTTCCCACCCAAGGTTTGGCCTAATGACATTTTCTCACCCAAAAAGTTTCCACATGCAACTTTAATACCCATATTGGCATATTAGGATTAATCTGTCAAGTTTAACTGAAGAAGGAACAAAGAGTAAGTTCAACAAACAGTAAAGGGGTAATTTGTTATTTTATCCCCTATATATAAACTTTTTTAGAAAAAAAAACCTCATTCAAACCCTTTCTCTCTCTTCCCCACCCCACCGCCCCAAAATCCTCCACCCCCACCAATTGGCCGGAATCGCACTCTTGAAGTAATGGAACCCACAAACGGCCCTGCCAAAATCTTGCATTGTAACGTCCGGCGCCGTATCAGGTAGATTACGTTCTTGTGGTCGATGGGGATTGGTGTGAGAAGGTGAGAGGATTCCGGCCGAGTGCGACTTTTTTTGCCGGCCACAGCTGTCTCCTCCGGCGACTTATCCGGCCACCATTCACCGTCCCTCACCAACCCCAAACATTAGCAGCAGCTACCCGCCGCCTGCCTGCCTGGAAACCGCCGTGCCACCCATCTGTTGTCGTGCTCGCGCGATTGAATTTACGGTCGCGTCGGACACCTAGCGACTGAGGCCATCCCCTCCTCACCATCCTCTCATCAACTCGATCCCCATTACCCAGCATCGTTGACCTTTCAAGCCCCCATGACCGCTGACGTTTCACTGATTGGAGTTTCTGTTTGTGTTGATTGTGGAGTTGGTTTGGTAGAGCCCACTTGGCCGAGAGCGATTCCGGCCAATTGGTGTGAAAAGGTGAGAAGAGTCCCACCAACTATTTTTTTGATTCGGATGATTTTGTTGTGTGTTGATTTGAATAAGGGTGATGGTGTAGTGTGTTGATTTGGATAAGAGTGAAGATTTTGTGGGTTTTTTTATGTGAGAAGATTGTGGTGCGAAGGTTGGATTCGCCGGAATNCAAAGAATTGATTCTCCATTGTAATATAAAAAAGATCGTACTTTATAAAATCAAAATAATTTTCTTAAGAAAATTTATACAAAATTAAAAACATGTAGAAATTTTTTCATGTATTTGTAATTTTGTATCCGAAGCTCCTGTAGTTCTTAACAATTGAAGGTGGCATTAGATCATCGGTTAACTCACAAAAAGGGGTTGGCAATAAGCTTCATCTCGTTAGTATCCAAGTTGTACCAATAGAGGGATGAGCAAGTACTATGCTGTACGAGCATATACCCAAGTTTTCTGTTGCAGGTCTCTATAACTAGCCATGGCAGAAACGTACCTGTAAAGGAACTTGTTAAATCAGTTGGTCTATTTCCTATGAAATAAAGGCAGATTTTGTGGTGCTTAATCCAAATGCTTTCAACTGAACCCTTCCAAACCCATATCTCTGACACATCCGAGAGGATTGGATTGGCCAAGCATGTTAGGATTCATCTGTCAAGTTTAACTGAAGAAGGAAAAATAGTAATTTCAACAAACAGTACAGGGGTAATTTGTTATTTTATCCCCTATACATAAACTTTAAAAAGGAAATCCCATTCGAACCCTTCAACTCTCTTCCCCACCCCACCGCCCCAAAATCCTCCACCCCCACCAATCGGCCGGAATCGCACTCTTGAAGTAATGGAACCCACAAACGGCCCTGCCAAAATCTTGCATTGTAACATCCGGCGCCGTATCACGTAGATTACGTTCTTGTGGTCGATGGGGATTGGTGTGAGAAGGTGAGAGGATTCCGGCCGAGTGCGACTTTTTTTGCCGGCCACCATTCACCGTCCCTCACCAACCCCAAACATTGGCAGCAGCTACACGCCACCTGCCTGCCTGGAAACCGCCGTGCCACCCACCTGTTGTCGTGCTCGCGCGATTGAATTTACGGTCGCGTCAGACACCTAGCGACTGAGGCCATCCCCTCCTCACCATCCTCTCATCAACTCGATCACCATTACCCAGCATCCTTGACATTTCAAGCCCCCATGACCGCTGACGTTTCACTGATTGGAGTTTTTGTTTGTGTTGATTGTGGAGTTGGTTTGGTAGAGCCCACTTGGCCGAGAGCGATTCCGGCCAATTGGTGTGAAAAGGTGAGAAGAGTCCCACCAACTATTTTTTTGATTAGGATGATTTGGTTGTGTGTTGATTTGAATAAGGGTGATGGTGTAGTGTGTTGATTTGGATAAGAGTGAAGATTTTGTGGGTTGTTTTATATGAGAAGATTGTGGTGCGAAGGTTGGATTCGCCGGAATCACAGCCGGAATTAGAGGTAGAGAAAGGGCAACCAGAAAAAAAAAAAAAAATTAGAATGAGAGAGGGTATTTTCGTGTTTACACTGTTTATACTACTCAATAAAACCATAATCAAATTTCTGATACGTGTCTACACAGATTTTCATATGGAGATGAAGTGTGGAATCAACAGAGTTTTTCAATAGAGATAATTTAAGTAATCTCTTATTACTCTTTCAAAAAAGATTTTTTTTTTTTTTTTGCTTATGAATAGGCTATTCTCAAGTTACCATTCAACAGCAACAGATTTGTTTTAGATTTTATTGTTATAATAGTCTTTTATATATAGAATTACATTATCTTGTTTCTTGCCATTATTTCATTCTTTGAAAAAAATTTAGAGATCAAAGGAGAGAAGATGGCTTCCCAAGCCCCATTGATAGTATCATTCGGTGAAATGCTTATTGATTTTGTTCCTGATGTTTCCGGTGTCGCCCTAGCTGAATCCAACGCCTTCATCAAAGCCCCCGGCGGTGCTCCAGCCAACGTTGCCTGTGCCATCAGCAAGCTCGGTGGTAGCTCCGCGTTCATCGGCAAGGTTCAACCCCACTTTCTTTATATTTAATTTGTTTCCTATATTTATTCTCTGATACATACGTAATATTGAGATTTATAGAAATATTTTGTCATACGTTTATATAGTCAATTTTAAGTGAAGTTGTAAAACTGGTTTTTATACGCTAAAAGATAAAAATTTGGTCAGCAAGGTTGACCCTACTTTCTTTATATTTATTTGTTTCTTCTCTGTCATGATGTTTGGATTTTTAAAAATTTACGATTGTGTGACAGGTTGGGGATGATGAGTTTGGATACATGCTAAGTGACATCTTGAAGAAGAATGGAGTGAAAACTGAAGGAGTGTGCTTTGATAAGGAAGCAAGAACAGCATTGGCTTTTGTGACATTGAAGAAAAATGGAGAGAGGGAGTTCATGTTTTACAGAAACCCTAGTGCAGATATGTTGTTGAAGGAGTCAGAACTGAACATAAATTTGATCAAGCAGGCCAAAATATTTCATTATGGATCAATTAGTTTGATATCCGAGCCATGCAGATCAGCTCATATGGCCGCCATGAAAGCTGCCAAAGAAGCTGGCAGTTTGCTCTCTTATGATCCCAATGTTCGTTTGCCCCTTTGGCCTTCTCAGGATGCTGCCAGAGATGGCATCAAAAGCATCTGGAATTTTGCTGATTTTATTAAGGTAATGTAACAAATCCTAGCAAGCCCGGTTTTGAAATTTGAGCCCTACCGAATCTTATAATCTTTGGGAAGCGAGAAATAATATCTTTGACCATGGAGACTCTGATGAAGGAGCTCAAACTCCCGACCTTTTGAGAGCAAAACACAAACTTGACTTATCAAATAATTGTATGTATTTAGATTAACTTGCTATTATGATTGTTTGAAATTATGTGTAGGTGAGTGATGATGAAGTGGGGTTTTTGACAAAAGGAGGAGATCCAAATAAGGATGATGTGGTGATGTCATTGTGGCATGATAACCTGAAGTTGCTTGTGGTAACTTACGGAGAAAAGGGTTGTGGATATTTCTCCAAGCAATTCAAAGGAAGGGTCTCTGGATTCTCAGTGAAAACAGTTGACACAACTGGAGCTGGTGATTCTTTTGTTGGATCGTTTCTTTTCTCTGTGGCCAAAGATCCCAATATTTTGACAGTAATTCCTTTAGCTCTTTCTCTTGTTATATTATATCCAAATGCATACACATCATACTGAATCTGATTGAAAAAAGCTTTATATGATTTGAGCTTAGTTAACAATTAATTTGTTGAGTGTAGGATGAAGGGAAACTGAAGGAGGCTCTAATGTTTTCAAATGCTTGTGGAGCAATTTGCACTACTCAGAAAGGGGCAATTCCTGCACTTCCAACTCCTGCTAGTGCCCAAGAACTCATCAACTCTAGCAAAAAATAGATTGTTTTCATGCCTTAGTTTAATTTCGTTTTTTAAATTGTCTATAATAATTTCATTTTTGCTTTGTCTATAATAATCTTATTTCTCTTCAAGTGACTCTAAAATTTTGAGAAATTTTGTGTTAGATTTTTCATTTCTGGTTTAACCAAATATTCTATATATCCTTCCTTAGAACTACATAAGTTTTATAATAGTTTAAATAATATATATATATATATATATATATATTTTTTTTGGATAATTGGAGTGTTCAGGTTACTTGCGTGCATCTCATTTAATCCTACAAACCCAATGAGTGGTGACTATTATGTGGGTCTCGAATATAAAACCTTTGAGTAATCCATCATGACTAAAGTCTGTTTAAATAGATAATATTTTAATTACATCAACCATACAAAAGTTGTCATAATAAAATAAAAACATTCTTAAACATATGTCATATGAAACATTGAGAATATTTGATTGTACCTAAAAACAACTGTTGTAATTATGAAGATAATAATATTAGCATCTCAAATGAATGTAACTTCTAAATCGTAAACTCTAATCAAGTTTATTCAAATAATCAGTGGTTAAATTACATCATTTATGTTTACCTGTATAGGGTCAAGGTACCCGTTTTGTTAAGGTGGGATTTAGAAGTGATGTAAAAATTTTGAAGTTATAATTCTGTAAACAAATTAATTAATTATATGATAATGATATCGTTTGATTTTGTTGTATGCTTAATTGTTAATTTTTTATTACAAATATATCCTCACTCAAAACAAAATTGAAGAAGGTAAAATTATTTAATGAAAACCCAAGTGAAATTTCAAAAGAGAAGAAATATATTGTTGTGAACTCACCATTGATTAGACAACATCATATCATATAAATATGAGTTGGATCTTGAAGTAATAAGGACGGATAAAAAACATTATCTAATAAAGAGCAAACTACATGTTCCCACCCACGGTTAAAGTGACATCCTAATTTCATACTTTTATTGCATTTAGTTCAGATTTCCACTCTTCAACTAATACGGTTAATGAAGTTTGACTTCTAATTTGTGCTGTTACCATATTATCCTTAACTTTTGATTTCACCACATCCAACCACCATCACCACCTAGCCACCATCACCATCCTGCCACCACCACCACCACCACCACCCAGCCGTCGGCATTTTTAGCCTTGTTTCGGCTGATTTTTCACCCAAAATCACCTCTAATCTCTTCCTTGTAACCCCAACACCAAAACCCACCAAACCCCTTCACCATTGCACCCTTCGATCGCCGGAAAACGGCCTCCTTGGTCTTCGCGTTTTCTCCCAACTTTGCGGCCAGATTCAGGCTGATTCACTCATTGAAAATGCACTCTGAAGCCACCAATCGAAACCCCTTCATCGCCTCTACAAAACCCACCCTCTCTTCGGCTGTCGTCACTCGTCGTTTGCTGCCCAAGTTCCATTCCCACCGTCGTGCGTCAACTTTTTTTCACCCTATCCTCCTCTTTGTTGCTCTGTTGTGGTGGTTGTGCATTGGTTGGCCATCAGTTATCTTCCACCAACCCAAAATCTCCATTCAAAGTCACGCGCACCAGTTGTTTAAGGAAATTCCTCAACCAGCTTCCCAGCCAAGCCTAGGCCCTTTTTGGGCAAATGGAGGGTGCAACGCTGAAGGGATGGTTGGCAAGGAGAGGATGAAAGGTGGGCAAGATGGTGGTGTTGGTAGGTGGGGCTGGCACCTCTGTTTAAAGCCTTAAAGTCGCGCGGGTGAGTGTTGTCGCGACTGGCAGCTACTGGGGGTTTAAGGAGGTAAGGGGATGGGTGGGGATGGAAGAGGAAGTGCCAGTGAGTGGGAAAATGGGGTCGGAAGCAATTTTCATCGCCATTTCCCACTCACCGGCCTTTCCTCTTCCTCAAGAAACGGTGCAGTTGGGTGGCGAGATTGGCGACTGGGGTTGTTGGTGGAGGGGATCTCTGGCCAATGGTGGTAGAGGTGTTGACGATGCAGCCATAACTCCACCACCTGCCGTTAGCCAAAGAGAGGAAAGATAAGAGGGAGAAAGGGCGCCACGATGAAGGAAATAAAAAGACCATTTTAGCCTTTAAGGGTTAACAAAAGTAGAACGGCGTCCATTTAAGGGTGGGAATTTGAAATTTATAAAACCAAGGTACCAATCGGGATTTCGCAAAACCTTGGGTGGGAATATGTCGTTTACTCTCTAATAAAACTTTATACGAGGAGTATTTCAGTTTTTATTCATCCTGAACTCCAATGAACTTGTATAAGAAGACGCTATGTATTTATTATCTGTCTTAATAGAATTCTCCCAAACTCTCTATTTTTCTTAGAGACAAACAGACCAGGATCATCGCTTGATCTGATTTTTTATCCGAGCAGAGCACAATACAAATTCATGATCGATGGTTGAAGGTTGATACAAAAATATATTAAAAAAAGAAAAAGAAAAAATCATAACCATACATTATCATTAATATACAAGTGTCATGGGATCCGTAAAAACTCAGAACTTAGATCAGGAAAAATCCTAATTCCAACCAAACACTTATTCTCCACTCATTTCGACTCTAGAAAATCAACAAGATTTATGAATCTTCAACTTTCAAATGACAAGAAATAAGCAAAAGTTGAATTTTTTTGAGACATTAATCAAACGATGAGGGAAAACTACGATCTTTGAAGTTTTTTTTTTTTGAAACTTGAATTTCTTCTTTGAATGCAACATAAAGTTTGAACAATGTGCTGCTTGATCTAAGAATGCTACATCTTTTTTTTTTTTTTTTTTTTTCCTTTCCTCTTTTCCGATGAATTTATGAACCAGCCAGACAACTATGCTGTTCTACAAGGGGATAATAAATAATTACACCCACTTATGAATTTGATTTTTACAAATAACATTAGGAATAATTGTACAAATTATATTGCAACAATTCAATTGTTGTTGTAACGTTACATGCTCATGGCTCTTGATGAAACCTCCCCTTCACCCTCCTGCGACTCTCTATCGCTTGCCTCAGCATTTTCCTGCATATATATAAGAGTCAATATCAAATATTTACCATCAACAACCGAAGCTCATTAAACTCCAAAATAACTAGACGGGAAAAATTTTAATCCCTCAGATTTGGCATACACTAGTTTTGAAGCTGTATCTTCCCTGATAGCTGATACTACGAAAACAAGTTCATAAATCTCTCCTAAACAAAATTCTCTCTTTCAGAGGAGGTCTCTGCATTTCTTGCAGATCTCAGAGGAGGTAAAATAAATTTACCCTAACCAGATTAAACTAGTACATCAATTTGAGTTTGACCACAAGCCGTTAAGGTCAATGCCCTATCATGCATATTACTGATATATATGAACCATACCGCTAAATCTTTCAACTTTGTTTCATCAAGATAACGGTCTAATGCACCTTCTCCACGAAGAATTTTGCCTCCACATCCTGGGGCACTTGCTGAGCCCACTGACTCCTCATCTATCACAACAGCATCTACTCTATCGCTTCCTGTCTTAACATCTGGAATCTGAAACATGCAAGAAATAAAAGGATTCAGTCAAGTAAATATCTTTCTCATACAACAGTACCTATCATCTAGAGTCAAATGCTTTAGAGTGGCATTTTGTTCCAACCGGCAATATGCCCATGCCCTCACCTCATACATAGCTTCAGTTAAAATACTTTCTAGTATGGCTCTCAAACCCCTGGCACCGGTATTCTTCGCCGTGGCTTTTTGGGCAATCAATCTTAGTGCTTTCTCAGTAAAATGTAACTTCACCTGAAATTACATTAGAGGTTCAATACTAAATAGATGCCAACAAAATCCAAAACTCGGAGAAAGACATAGCACAGACAGTCATTTACTCACATTGTTCATGCTAAACAATTTCTTGTACTGCTTACCAAGAGCATTTTTTGGTTCTGTGAGGACCTGTCAAATTAAGGGAAAAGAATCAACAAATAAATTATGTTAAATGCTTCTGAAACGGTATTAAAGGCAACACTATCCAGAGTTTAGAGTACTTCTGACACTAGTTTCAAGTTTGGGTTTCTCACTTCAATGTTAACCTGAACATATTGCATAATGCAATGGTAAAGGCAGATCATTTGAAACGACAGGTCTGTTTCAGGAGTTTCATTTTTATGATCAACCCTAAAAGTTAAAACCATCACAATAGCCAAATACAGTCACTAGAGACATGGGTACAAACTAGTCAGGGTCCTCGAAAAGTGACTTGTATGCGATCCTAACCTTTAGCATTTTGCATAAACTACTCTCAAGACTCAGAACCAGAGCTCCTGAGCTTGTCAGCCCAGGACTTTAACCACTAAACAGGCAATTACTCCTAAGCCAAATAAAGCCTTCTCAATTGCTTATTTGTATTGGTCAAATAAAGAACTTCCTACTGATGCTCAGAATTCTGGTTTCTGTGGGAAAACCATGAGCATAAAATATGAATAAACACCCTGGCATCAGATCATTAGAAAATGTCTTGACCTTTTTGCCACGACACAAACTTTGAAGTTAGTATAATAAAATTCAGTAAGCATATTTGGACTAAAAATTGAACAAACAGAAATATATTGAAAGGAAAAAAGACAAAATTCTCGATTTATTAATCANTTTTTTTTTTCCTTTCCTCTTTTCCGATGAATTTATGAACCAGCCAGACAACTATGCTGTTCTACAAGGGGATAATAAATAATTACACCCACTTATGAATTTGATTTTTACAAATAACATTAGGAATAATTGTACAAATTATATTGCAACAATTCAATTGTTGTTGTAACGTTACATGCTCATGGCTCTTGATGAAACCTCCCCTTCACCCTCCTGCGACTCTCTATCGCTTGCCTCAGCATTTTCCTGCATATATATAAGAGTCAATATCAAATATTTACCATCAACAACCGAAGCTCATTAAACTCCAAAATAACTAGACGGGAAAAATTTTAATCCCTCAGATTTGGCATACACTAGTTTTGAAGCTGTATCTTCCCTGATAGCTGATACTACGAAAACAAGTTCATAAATCTCTCCTAAACAAAATTCTCTCTTTCAGAGGAGGTCTCTGCATTTCTTGCAGATCTCAGAGGAGGTAAAATAAATTTACCCTAACCAGATTAAACTAGTACATCAATTTGAGTTTGACCACAAGCCGTTAAGGTCAATGCCCTATCATGCATATTACTGATATATATGAACCATACCGCTAAATCTTTCAACTTTGTTTCATCAAGATAACGGTCTAATGCACCTTCTCCACGAAGAATTTTGCCTCCACATCCTGGGGCACTTGCTGAGCCCACTGACTCCTCATCTATCACAACAGCATCTACTCTATCGCTTCCTGTCTTAACATCTGGAATCTGAAACATGCAAGAAATAAAAGGATTCAGTCAAGTAAATATCTTTCTCATACAACAGTACCTATCATCTAGAGTCAAATGCTTTAGAGTGGCATTTTGTTCCAACCGGCAATATGCCCATGCCCTCACCTCATACATAGCTTCAGTTAAAATACTTTCTAGTATGGCTCTCAAACCCCTGGCACCGGTATTCTTCGCCGTGGCTTTTTGGGCAATCAATCTTAGTGCTTTCTCAGTAAAATGTAACTTCACCTGAAATTACATTAGAGGTTCAATACTAAATAGATGCCAACAAAATCCAAAACTCGGAGAAAGACATAGCACAGACAGTCATTTACTCACATTGTTCATGCTAAACAATTTCTTGTACTGCTTACCAAGAGCATTTTTTGGTTCTGTGAGGACCTGTCAAATTAAGGGAAAAGAATCAACAAATAAATTATGTTAAATGCTTCTGAAACGGTATTAAAGGCAACACTATCCAGAGTTTAGAGTACTTCTGACACTAGTTTCAAGTTTGGGTTTCTCACTTCAATGTTAACCTGAACATATTGCATAATGCAATGGTAAAGGCAGATCATTTGAAACGACAGGTCTGTTTCAGGAGTTTCATTTTTATGATCAACCCTAAAAGTTAAAACCATCACAATAGCCAAATACAGTCACTAGAGACATGGGTACAAACTAGTCAGGGTCCTCGAAAAGTGACTTGTATGCGATCCTAACCTTTAGCATTTTGCATAAACTACTCTCAAGACTCAGAACCAGAGCTCCTGAGCTTGTCAGCCCAGGACTTTAACCACTAAACAGGCAATTACTCCTAAGCCAAATAAAGCCTTCTCAATTGCTTATTTGTATTGGTCAAATAAAGAACTTCCTACTGATGCTCAGAATTCTGGTTCCTGTGGGAAAACCATGAGTATAAAATATGAATAAACACCCTGGCATCAGATCATTAGAAAATGTCTTGACCTTTTTGCCACGACACAAACTTTGAAGTTAGTATAATAAAATTCAGTAAGCATATTTGGACTAAAAATTGAACAAACAGAAATATATTGAAAGGAAAAAAGACAAAATTCTCGATTTATTAAAGACAAAATTCTCGATTTATTAATCACAATCCTTTAAGATAAAAGTTAAATTTTCACAGAATGCATTCATGTCCAACATTTTTTATAGGAGCTTTTAAGTCCAGTATACCCCTTCAATAATTAAATATACGGATTCTGCTCATAATTGTGGATGAGTATGGTCCAACATTCAGAAAGCCAGAATATAACAAAATCATGTGACTTGTGCTTCTCTTTAAATGAGAAACATGCTTATATTTTTCAATGCTAAAATTTCTAAACCTAAGGAAGGAGTAGAATCATAACTAAGGTAAACAATCACAAATTAATGGTCCCAAACAAGTAAAAAAATACATGGAAAAACTTGATAAGCCAAAATAAAATGAAGCATTACCTTAACAAGTTGGTCCTCAGTTAAAGCTGACAAACTAACTAAAATTGGAAAGCGTCCAATAAATTCCGGTATGAGACCATAAGAAATGAGATCAGAACTCTCAACCTAAAAATAGAAAGAGAAACTTTCAGGCCACATTTGGAAAGGATTTTTGCCAGAGGAATAAGGTGGAGGGAGCGGCCTGATAAGTGAATTTACTATCTTGAAATATAATAAAACTGACTAAAAAAGAAACAGATTAAAATTTCCAATTTCCCTCATATTTCTCACCGATTCAAGCAAAGATGATGTCACTGTAGCATCAATTACTCCACCAGCTCTCATGTTTGCACGAACAGGAGCTCCAAAACCAATTGATGAATCTTGCCGTCTAGTAAATAACACTTACAGTCGATAAGTTGTTGACTTCAAAATCAGATAAATAACATTTAGAGGAGGAATTCCAGCAAGGAAAAGCTATTGGCAAACACTAACCTCTCCGAAATCGTTTTATCAAGATTAATGAATGCTCCACCACATATGAAGAGGATATCTTTTGTATCTATCTGCAAAGCATTTTCAACACACTTGAAATGATATTAGCTAAGCAACAGCCAAAATGAGACCATGAAAATATATATAATAAACTATGTGCTTCTTAGAGAATAACCTAAAAATGAAAGAAAAGAAAACACCAACATAAATTCGACATTAAGAAAAAGGCGATTGCAACTTTTTCTTTTGTTTTCAATTATTGTGTAAGACACCACTTTTGCTTAATTTAATTTTTGCTGGAATTTTGGTCACAGAAGTGGTTTTTCTTTTTACATCAGCGCCCAATATTATATTGATCTAGCAAATATGTCTGATAATCTTTTTACTCCAGAATAAAGAATGGTGAGCTAATTCTCATCATCTTATACTTCTAAACCTAAATAAAGAATTAACATGCTAAGAATTTAACAGCTTTGGAAATTGAACCTAAATTTGTAGTGGCCACTAGATGGAGAATGCTAATACACATAAATAAGCTCTAAAGTGAAAATCAGCCCCAAGTATATGGGAAGCGCATTGAAGATCGTGTCGACAAGTACTAAAATATTTTAAAAATTTAAATCATCTACTTTCTTTCAGCTTAATAAATGTTTATATATTTAGTATAAGCATGCATATTCACTAATTGAGAAGCCAAGACAATAAAAAATTACTGACAGCTTCCATAAATGAAACACTGTGTACCACTGATAAATAAAATCAACAGAATACAGGTTCTTATATATAATGCACTGAAATGCACAAAACCCGAATATACTTGCAATGAGATGATAAATCAAAGAAAAATGGCGACATATGTAGAGCTAGAGTACCTGTATGTTATCACCCCGAGGATGTTTCCTTGCCCCCTTCTCAGGAACATTCACTATCTGGACAAGCAGAAGATTCTTCTTTCAAGCTACCAGCCATTTAATATTAAACAGTCTAAAACTAATTAATATCTATCTACCTCAATTTAGAAAAATTTGACTGAAAGAAAATTGATAAATCCAAAATAAACTGGTGACTCACAGTTCCTTCCAGCATCTTCAATAATGCCTGTTGTACACCCTCACCAGAAACATCTCTACTAATATTTAAGCTCTCAGCCTGCAAAAGAACTTAAATCTTTAGGAAACCTTGGGTCAAAAAGAAATCTAGAAAACAATATAATATAACTCAGGCAAATTGTAAAGGACCTTCTTAGTTATTTTATCAACTTCATCAATATACACGATCCCTTGTTGAGCTGCTTGAACATTGAATTCAGATGCCTACATGCCAAATTAGAAAATCACAAGCAAATGAGGTCACCAATAACTAAGATGCCAAATAGAAGCAAAAAGAACGAGAAATCACGTACAAAGTTTAAATATGGTCGCTAGCGTTATAAACTCAAACTTTGATTGACTAAATAAAGCACTTATTTCACAAAGAAAGCATATTGCTAAATTCCTATATAAGGAAGAATAAATGAATAAACTTCCACCCAAATCCAGATGGATATGAGACTCATTGGGCATGGCAATCAGCTATATCAGCATGATATACAATGTGAAAAGCCTTGCAACAGGTCACAACAAAATTTTGGTTAGAAGAAGTCGACAACACTTAGAGCAACTGTTTTCTAGCCAAAACTTATAATTCTTCAATAAGAAGGAACAAGGACGCCATTTACTTCTACAGAAGACACATAAGTAAGATTTCCTATATAAGCTCTTCTATATGTTTTTTTTTCTAAAAGTGAAAAGGAACTGTTATGAGAGTAGAAAGAATAGATGAGAACCAATACAGAATAAAAGTATGCAAGGTAGCAGTTTTCTTTCATGTATGAGAGAGGTAGCTTCAATACATGCAATGTGTAGTTAGGAAAAGAATCATATAATGGGTCGGTACATCAAGGAAACTGCCGTTGACCTTTCCCGAAAACATACCCCTTTATTTTCAGATCTTTGCAGAGATTTCAAGTGCCGTTATAAGAATTTATCAATGAAGTCGGGGGTCAAAGGGAGTGATATAGGTTGAGAACTGAGGAGGAGTTTGGGCTTGGGAAATAGAACTTTTATTATTTCGAAGAAATAGGACTGAGGAGGTTGAGAAAGTTTCATTCGTTGTTGGACAATATTTGAAATTTCATTTTTCTATTAGAAGTTCAATTTCTGCTACAAAATCAGCTCTTCCATTTCAACTTAGTAAGGATGGATATGTACAATGTAAACAATTCTATGCATGAAATTTTCTGGTTCCAGGTAAAAATGCACTATCATAGGAACATCTACTTTTTTCACCAAGAACATATTCAAACGTCTTCTTCATAGAAAAATTACCATCTTTTAAATAAGAATCACTATACTAGAGATCATAGAGACAGAATCTAACCAACAAAACATGATTTTGTTTCAGAAATCATAAGATGTCAACAAAGCTAACACAAGAAGTATACACATTGCAGTTATATGCTGGTAAAGACAAGACAGAACAAAGTAATGTCTCTGAGAAATTCTAAAAGCTGTGAATAGGAATAATACCATGAGAAGTTTATACAATATTGATTCAACATCTTCCCCAACATAACCAGCCTGCAAAATAGTACCATTACAACAATTGAGCATTAAAATCTGTATAAATCATATTTATATAACAAGAGCAATCAAAAACAGACTTGCCTGAGTTAAGGTTGTTGCATCAGCAATAACAAATGGCACATTGACAAAACGAGCTAGTGTTTTTGCAAGTAAAGTCTTCCCTATTTTATAACATATATATTAGCCACTGATTTTCTCAACCATATGCCACAAAAAACAACATACACAAATGCTGAGACATACCTGAACCGGTTGGCCCCATTAAAAGCACATTGCTCTTTTCTAACTCTACATTATCATCTTCATCTATTGCCTCCATGGTTCCCGATTCCGCCCCTGACCTAGTACCAAAATCCAACACCTTCAGTTTAAACATTGTAAATTTGAATTAATTCAAAAGACAATGAATAAACCACTATCAGAATAAGTAATCACAAACTAACCCTTTTTGAAAGGAAGCATTATATATCCTCTTATAGTGGTTATGAACAGCCACAGCAAGCACCTGCAGTAATCAACAAACACAAAACCATCCATCAAAATACAAGCTTTAAAAAAAAATTACAACAATCTAATGACTTAAAAAAACTAAACACTCTTTCTCTCACGCAGTAGTGCTTATAAAATCCGAAATTAATAATAAATCAGCATGTCTGCATTGGAAATTTTTCATAAAACTTAAAAAAGAAACCTTTTTGGCTCTCTGTTGACCAATCACAAACTTATCAAGACCTTTGCAAATCTCCTTTGGCGTTGGCAAATTCTTCCCCAAATTAGCCCCACCCCATCCACCACCACCACCACCACCACCCCCCTCACCACCACCACCACCACTACCAGACCCACCACCGTGATTGGGCCCCACAGCTCGAACCACATTAACCCCAGGTGCAAAAGGCGGGCCCGGCGGTGTATGCACCGCCAAACCATTCGAAGGCGGAGGCGGGTCCCCTCCATACGTCCTCAAACTATCCCAAAACGACACCCTCTCATCAACACCAACCCTATCACTCGAAAACCTCTTCAACCTTCTTTTGCTGCTACTATTATTGCCATTACTACTGACTTTGATTTCAACGAAGCTGCCTTGAAGAGGGGCAATCCTATAAGGCCGAAAGTAGTAAGCAGATTTACAATTAGGACAGATGTTGACCTCCTGGAAGGTGCCACTATCGACAACGGTAGGAACCGGAGGGGAGAGATTGGAGGAAGCGAACAAGAGATCCATGTGTTTAGAACATCTGGGACAGTTAATTTCGGCCCTAATTTTACGATTATCGGTAAAATTGTCACCACCACCGGAGGGAGTGTCCCATTTGAAACGGTGTTGAAGGAGACCGTGAATTGGGGGAAGAAGAAGAAGAGGGGAAGTGGGGCGGGAAGTGAGTTGAGAGGAGGAGAGGTGTTTGAGGTGTCTGAGGTGTTTGAGGTAAGACTTCCATCGCCAGATTGCAGACATACGAGAATTGAATAGAATTGAATATAATAGGATTGAATAGTGGGAAAGTGAAAAGAAACGAAAAGAAAGGGGTATATATAGAGGGAAAGAGGGAAGAAAAGAGAGGAAATGTAGCAGAAGATATGGAAATGGAGAGATGGCGAGGAAGGATTGGGGGGTTGATTGTAAAAAAATTGAAGTTTCTAAAAATTGACAGTTGACGATATCAGTAGAATGTACTTCACGTCTTCTCCGAGTTGGTAGTTACCACGCAGCCACGCGCGGCTTTATGTTTTAACTGTTGAAACTACCTGTGTCCAGCGTGAAAGGAAACTTACAATTTTATCCCCAAAGTTTGACTTATTTTAATAACGTTTTAATCCCTGTTATTAATAATGTTGTGATCGTTATTGACACAGGGACCAAAGCGTTGTTAAAAAAATTTATAAGACTGAAGAGAAATTGTTATTATCCCCTACGTCAACCAACCAAGGCGTCGCATGTTAAGCACACCATTCGTCCGCGACTCTTGAGAGTTTAGTTTCAAACGGAAAAAATTCTCCTTTATATGCATATGTGACATTTTGTGCATTTGTCTAATATACATTAGAACATATATACATTCGTTTAATTACGATACGGTATACATTAATATGTATATATATTAGTCTAATTACGATACGTCATATATTAGAATGTATATATATTCGTTTAATTATGATATACATATATCATATTATGTTCAATCTAGTGATGGCAATGGACGAGGTCGGGACTGAGTATCCCTTGGCCTAGGTCCAAGCCCGACCTCATGACAAAAGCTCAAGCTCGGCTCGGGCCTATCATGGNAGAATGTATATATATTCGTTTAATTATGATATACATATATCATATTATGTTCAATCTAGTGATGGCAATGGACAAGGTCGGGACTGAGTATCCCTTGGCCTAGGTCCAAGCCCGACCTTATGACAAAAGCTCAAGCTCGACCCGGGCTTGTCATGGGTATGATAGGTAAAGTCTAAGCCCAACCCAACAGGCTTTTTATAACTCAAGCCGGCCTAAGCCCGGCCATTTTTATAATGTGAATTTTTAAATATTAATAAATTTCAATTTTTTTTTATTTTTAATTCTAGAAACAGATTTTAAATATTAATTTATTTTTGAATATTCACCAAATATATAAATAACATTCCACAAAGTGTATCCATCCATCTATGTAGGGTTTGGAAAAAATGGGTATATATATTTAAGATAATCTTGTAATTAAATATATAATATGAGGGTAATTTAGTAAAATTAATACTAAAATTGTTGGGTCAGTATTCAATATGGCAATTGGAGATACTTATATCACCCTCACAATTAAATAAGATTTATCATTACTTACTGCCATTTTTTTTTACAGGAGAATCTGTTAATTTTAGAGTTACTATATATATTGGAAGTAGATAATTCCATAAAATAAGAACAATATTTAACATGTTACTATTTAAAGTTATTGTTTTGGAAGGTTTTGCATAAATGGGAATGAAAACTTTGGGACTTTTAACAATGGTTAAACTAAAAGAAAAGTGTCGAAATATAATGCCTTTCCTAATATAATTCCTCCTCTCAATTTGGGGGACTAACAATTTCCCTCGCAAGGTTTGGCCAAACAACACTTACTTACTCGAAAAGTTTCAAAAACGACACTTTCCCACTAATCCGTTAACTGACATTGTATAAACAATATAAAGATGAAAATACCCTTCTGTTTTCTCCTTCTTTCACCTTATTCAGTTTTTCTTTTTTATTCGACTTGAATAGCATCCGGCCAAGTGTGGCCTGATGGAGGAGAAAGGCGGTGGAGATCCCTACCCTCTCCGACGATATCTGCCTCTTCCACGTGTAGGTTGTTGGAAGCGATTTGGTTTGTGTGGCTGATGTGTTGATGGTTTAGGGGTGGGTTGTGATGTGGGTGCGATGGAGATGGGTTGAGATTGGGATACGGTGGTGGTGGGATGGTGGCCAATGGGTGCATGGTGGAGGTGGGGTGCAGTCTGGTTGAGGTGATGGGTTCAGGTATGGGTATGGATTTGGATTTGGATTCTAATAATAAAGGATATTTTTATTCTTACACTGATTATACCATGTCAATTAACAAATTTTACTAACAGATCTTAACGGTGAGTAGGAAAGTATCTTTTGGCCAAACCTTGGGTGGAAAAATGTCATTCTCTCTGGCAATTCTTTAATATCAATGTGGTTAATGTCACTTCATCATTTGAAATTAATTTATATTTAATTTGAAATACATGATTTTGAAGATTTTACATTATACAAACTATATTTGTTCCTTGTACTACTCGATATCATATCAAAGCATCATAAGTCAATATAAACACTTGGATTTATAAAACAATGATGGTAGCACAGGCTTTATTATTCAAGCTGCTTTACATATTCATCACCAATACATGGTTTAATTAATTCATCATGGCAAGAGCTTTCATATTTATATATTATGTTATCATGTGCTTCCCAACTTTTCTTGCAGAAGAATGGAATTTTATATATGATTCACCTGTTGAATAGATCTAGTATTGACTATTGAAGGTGGTTTGGCTCTGACAATTAAATTTAAAGTTAAGAGTAAAGGATTCATTGCATCATGTTATTTCAGTTTGGAATTATTGTTATGCTTACTCAACATCAGAATTAAAGAAATTGCAGAAAGACTTCACCACTAATTATGTTTTAAGTAACACCCTCTTCTTCTTTCTTTCTTTCTTTCATTCCTTGAATTTGTGTTATTTTCAAATACCTAAGTGAGCTGCTCTGTGCCAAGAAACAATCATGAGTTTTGATAGATTGAGTTGGGAGAAATTGGAGTAAGATATCAGATTGCACCAGTGCTTTTGAATCTCAATAGAGATAAAAATAATTGAAAAGGAAGATATCACTCAAAAACAATTGAATGGCNGCATATTGAAATAATAAGATTGCTTACTATAAACTAATAATGTGTCACATATTGAGATAAACACATTTTATTTGTACAAAAGAAAAGAAAAAAAATTGTACAGTTTGTGAATCTTATAATTCTAGCAAAGAAAATATGAAAAAAATGAGAAAATTGTTGATGGGAAGTATTGGATAGGATGATAGAAGGAAAATATACAAAGGATGTAAATATTATTATTATTTACATTATTATGAGTTAATGAGAGGAATTTTGATAAAAATGCAAAGAAATTATAAAAACTGAAACAAGAAAAATGGAAAAAAACAAGCAACTTGTTAAACAATTTTTTTTTTCTTTTTAAAAAAAAACAAAAAACAAAAAACGTGAAGAACTGCAAATGGTCATCTTGTTTACAGCAATCGGTTGTTCTACTCCTATTTCTTCTAATGGAGATCTTTTTTCAAGTAATTAAAAAGGTAACATTCTCTGGTTGCAGTACATAACTGAGGTGCAATCTGTGTTCTGTTTCGTTGTATTTTATCTGTATAAGTTCCTTCACAAGAGTCCGAGCTCAAAAGGGGTCGAAATCCTGGTGACAAGGGAGGATTTTCTAATCCCAGAATCCTGTATCATCTTTCTGCAGAAACAAAATGATGTGATGTTGTTATTAACTTGGTAGTTTTAGTCTCAGATTTTTCGTTCATGCTTTTACAATATTTTATTTCTTGTAAAGCAAACAATAGCGTATATCAACAGTAAGCACCGAAATTGAGATGGGGGTTTTGAGTACCTCTATAGAATCTTGATCTTCGATTCGCTAGACGGATGTTGCTTTCATTCCTTAGCAGAAGTTCATCGATTTTCAGAGACTTGGTTAACAGTGGTCCTGAAAATTCAATGTTTCCTTGCATCTGCAACCGCGGCAAAATGTCAGATGGGAAAATGAATATCCATGAATTGAAAAAACCTGAAGATCAGCTCTTAAAACAAAGTGTGGCAGCATTTTAGTAGTCCTTACCGGATTCTTTCTATGACCAACTCCATCTTCCTTGTCAGAAATTGCCAATTCATGATCTTGTGAATAAAATACATCAAAAAAAATGGTACTGCCATATTGCTTTGGCTGTAATGGCATTGAAAGTGAAGAATTCTCATACAGGTCGATCTCCTTAGGATTTGTACGATTTCGATTTTCTTCTTTTATCAAGTTACCGAAGGAGTTGTCTACAAAGCCAAGATTTGATGAATCTATTGTACTTATTTGACTTCTAGATGAAACTACGGTTTTAGCATCGTCTTTTTGCCTTTTCGCCCAAGCAAAGCCACTTGACGCTGAGACTTGTGCCGGGCCTTTGAAGATTGAGCCCCCTTGGGATGCAACCATTCCCGTGGATGCCTCTGATATTAAATCAGTTGAGGGATTCAGTAAATCTCTACGTGCAAAGCTTTCTCTTCCCTTTAACAATGGTGCATTATTAGCAGTATTTCTGTTACTAAAATGAGTATGATTCTGCAGTTCCTACATAAAGAACAAACAAAACATTTAGGTTCATGCCTTATTCCATAACCAGATAGATAGGTAGATTGAAAGACCTCGTTTGTTGCTAATTTATTGTAACTGATGGGTTCTTGCAAGCTTTGGCGAGTTCTTCTCGGTCTTTTGGATGCAGCAGACTCTCGCAATCTAGCACGCGTCTTTTTCCTGAAGGTACAATGATAATTCAGTGAAAAACATTTGATGTATCGAAAACATAAATGCACAAGGCCTTAAACATTCATTGACCTCAAAACTGATCAGGCACAATGAGTTTACTGATCAAAGAAAAACTGTAAATGTGTATCTGCTAAGTTCAATCAGAAAAACTGCAAACCCAGGATGAATAATAGGGTCAGAACTTCTAATTTTCGTTTTTCGCCTAAAGAAAGAAGATATAAAAGTTTCACCTTCGTGCTTCGTCTCGGTGTTTAGCATCGAGTTCCTTTTTAGGTGGATAGATTGGCAATTCAGATGGATCGCACGCATAAGGTGTAGTAAAGAAGTACTGAAAGGTAACACACAAAACTAGAAATAAGATGATTTCTCTCACAATCATAAAATCTCAGTAGTTAGAACATTCAATTTATGAAAGCTTTTAAAATGAAGTTCCCAAAATGCATTATAATTCCCTTTTACATTCAATAATTTAGTATTGTTCTAAACTTTTCAATAAGTATTACCTCAGACATCAATGCAGATGAGGCAGTCCGACGCATGCTAGGATCTATGGAAAGAAAATTTTGTATCAAGTTTACAGTGGATGCAGGAAATTCTTTACACCTTTCTCGAAGACAACCTTCATAGCTGTTTTGGGGCTTAAACATGTCTCCATGAGGAAGCTTAGCTTTTCCCCAGTAGCCTTCTGGTGGAGAACCACAAAGCTTAAAGATTTTGTGTAATTGTTCAACCTGCAAATTGATGAAGAGAATGATGCTACAGAATGCAGATGCATCTTTCTAAACAAATTTGCATTTCCTATTCTCAGGTCAATCAAATAATTGATTCATACTTGAATTTTGTGATTATTAGAAAGTAGTGATTTATAATGCCATGATTACCTCAGTTCTCCCTTTAAGGATAGGCTTTCCGAAGAGAAGTTCTGTGAAAACACAGCCAACACTCCACAGATCCACTGATACATTATAATTTGTTGACCCCATCAGAAGTTCAGGGGGCCGATACCATAAAGTAACAACACGGCTGGTTAGTTTTTGCTTGTTCCTTGTTGAACGAATATTTGCCAATCCAAAATCTCCCAATTTCAAAGTCCCTTTATTGTTTACCAAAATGTTGGATGTTTTAATGTCTCGATGCATTATACCTCGCAAATGGCAATGCTCAACTGCATTCAATAGTTGCTTCATGTAACATTTAATCTGCACAGGAAAATCAACCTGAACATATATGCTTCCACAAGAAGAACCAAACGAAAAGCCTCCCATATGTTTCGAATTGTACCTGTGGTTCAGTGAACTTTATATCAGCGGTTAATAATCCTGCAAGATCATGATCCATGTATTCAAATACAAGGTATATAGTACTTGACAATCTTGATGTAATCACCCCCTCCAATTTAATGATGTTTGGATGGTCAAGCCTGCGAAGAATCATTATTTCTCGCGCCATAAACCTAATGCTCTCGGGCTGAAAATTGTCAAACCGAACCTTCTTCAACGCAACTGTCTTCCCAGTCACAACTTCGCGTGCTTTAAACACACTGCTGTATGTACCTTGTCCAATCTACATAGCACAAGAAAAGATTCAAAACAATAATGGTTATAAATTCTGAACTAACAATTGTAAAATGTATATATGGGGAATTTTAAAAATCCATTTCATCAAACAATTTGAAAGCATTGGACATGAAAATTTTCCAGGTCATGCATATTCATGTGCATTTCTTATTCTTCAAAATGTATCTATGGGGAATTTTCATTTGATTGAGATACCATATTCAAACCAAAACAAATAAACAAAATAAAGTTTATAGAATGGTCGGCAATTGAAGATTATTTCAAATTTCTTTCAATCAAGACCCACAAATCAACATAATTTTTTTTTTGAAAAACCTTCCTCACCTTATCTAATTTCTCAAAAGCTTCTGCACGTAGAGGCACCAAACCATGGACAGCTTCAGGGGCGGCGGCAGTGAGCCACGCCGGCCAACCGGCTGCAATCTGTTCTGCATTTACATGTCTATGAGATAAACCCAATTTAATACTAAAAGTACCACTCTTCCTCTGAGAATCTCCCTTCTTCAACTTCCTCGACTCGCGGCTTCCTTTATTATGATGATCCTCTTGTTTCTTCTCCTCCTTTCGATCCAACTCAAGAGCCCCAGATGGATTTTTTGATGAAATAATATAGTGTAAGGTAGCATTGTCATTCGTTGAAGCTTCTGCGGCAGAGTGGTCCACAGGGGACCCTGCAACTGCAGATGCCAACTTTTTCGAGCTTACGCAACCCATAGAACTCCAAATCCCGAAGCTGAGAATTACCCAGATCGGGAAATGGATTCAACACGTTACTCAACTCCTCACATTCTTAGGCTCATTTTGGTTGTCATTTGGACAAGAAAGAGAAAGAAAAAAGATTAGATAAACCCAGAAAAAAACAGAGTTATAGGAACAGAACACAAAACAGAGTAGTTCTGTGTTTTTTTCTTTCTAAGGTTAAGTTGCGAGATCTACGGAGGACGATTGTCAGAAAACGGTGAATGCTCCAAAAAGAGAGGGAAATAGAGAGAGATTTGTGGGTCCGAATTCGGACATCTTTAGTCTGTTGTGTTTTCAGATTTCTATGTTTTGGTTTTGCAAAAGATATTAAAGGTGAAATATCATGTAACCGTTAGATTCATTATTTCTCGTTAGTTGATAAAGCGAGGGAAACGGGTCCTCTTGTTTGTTGCAGCCTAACTGCCCAACAGCTCCACTTCACCATTTTAAACCAAATTTATCGAATTTGGATATGAATTAGTTCCCCTAATTACTATTCTTATTATCCAGTCATTATATGATGCAGATATGATACAATCTCGTTACCAGAAAGTTAACACTGTTGGATAAAGATAAAAGTATGATTCTAACATCACATAAATAATATAAGCTTTTGATTATCTAATTAATGAAATAAAGATCTTATAGAGGGTATACCAAGCAAAATGAGAGAGATATTGATAAGAACTTACTCCCAAATTGATATTATTTAGTTGGGCAATGGATTTTTTATAGGTTTGAGTAAAACTCTCCTTGAAAAATCGGTTTGTCAAGAGAGGGTATCTGAGTCTTTTATAACCCATATTTTCACCATTTTTCCCTTCTAACGTGAGATCTTAACATATATTTGTATGTTTAAATGGTTAGATATCAGTTTTCATGTATCAATGGTATTGTTTATTGTTTGTTGAAGATGAATTATTGGTAAAGAGAAGTCTCTGGTCAAAATGAAAAAAAGTGACCAGCGGTAGCTAAACCTCTTTCCTATAAAGTGAGACACTACAGCCAGTTTTACTATTGGCAAAGCATATTCAGAATCCACAAGCTGTTAGACAGAATTTGCAGGCCATATAGACATTAACAAAACATCCCACATCGATAACGAATGAGAATTTGGGTTAGTCTATTAGTTTACATTGTTAGCAAATAGAATCTAGATCAGTTGATAAAACTTTTAGATCATCTCGACTAAATAGCAGTGTTTTAAAACCTGGTTCGGGGTTGACTGGTTGAACCAAGACTTGGGACCTTCACTGGGTCGGGTTAACAATTTTCCCATTCACCTAAAACCCTATAATTTAGGATGATAATCGACGAATAATTGAAGGTCGAGATGATGAGGCTTTTGAAGAGAAAATGCTAGTGACTGTAATGGTGGCAACATAAGTAATTTTCAGTGAGTTAATCGACCAGAAATCCAAAAAAAGAGTGGCAGCAACAGTTGGCTTTTGCCGGTGATTAGTGAGGTGATTAGGTGAACAGGGATGGAGTGAGATGGGTTTTAGTCAGAAGGCTAAGGGGATTATTTTCATGATGATGGGGAGGGTTGTCAACGCCGGTGGTGGTGAGATTTGGCCAAAATCGATCAATGCCGACGTTGGTGAGATCTAGCCGAAATTAGTCGATTTCAACCAAATCTTGGGTACATTTTCTAGGAAATGTGCTTAATGAATGATTGAAATTGCATTTAGTGTGTCCCTACCACCAACCAATTGATCTCTGATTTGTATTTGAAGTGTGTTTACTAAATTTCAAACCTATAGGGACTTGACAGTGATTTTCAGGGATGTATTTGCTGAATTTTAAATTTTTTGACACCCGATTTGTCCGGTCGGTCAAACGGGTCAACCTGAGACCCAGCAACTTCGCCGAGTTTCACCCTGGTTTGATTATTAAAACATTGCTAAGTAGACACATATATATCAATAATTCATCGCCCAAGCTCCATGGATTCCAATGCTACACACTAAAGCACAATTTATCTCACTGGATTTTGCCCTTCTCAATAAAACTCGTCTATGCCATGAAAAGGAGGACTTTACATTCGTACATCTATTCCAATGCAACAACAAACTAATGAAACACTATAGGCGTTTCAAATAATGAATAAAATACATGAAAGTGGATTCATTACATAAAGTTCTCCACAAAATGTTAGCAGTCAACTTACAAATGGCTGTAATTTTTTCTGGAAAAGCTCCAGGGGTCGAAACAGCCAATGCTAGCAGAATGAACAAGGGCTAAAAAAACCAGATAAGTCAAATTACATTCAAATGAACATCTTCCCTTACGTGTGAAAGATCATATACAACAATAGTAGTTACGGATTCAAATATACAGGTGGTGTGGGCGGCACAGCTCATATACAGATGTAAGAAGCCGGTGTCACATATCGGTCATGCTCTTCCATAAGATTTGTTCTTTGCAATGCTTCTTCATGTTGTACCCCATTATTTTGATGGAAGCAGCCGCTGGACTGGTCTTGTGATAACTTTTAACGGATTTCAGAAGAGAACTTTACACGATTATTCGTTCTTCTTTTAACTGCAGAAGCACTGGACTTTGATCATGATTTCCGAACTCCATATCTTTAAGTAATGGATGCTTCTGAGTCACTGTCTTTTGCGGTTTTAGCTGTGATGCGTTGTTGGCTGCGTTCTGACTGCTATTTCTTGAAGCTGGGACATCATGATTGTGTTTCCCCTCATATGTAGTTATGACAGCTTTGGCGTCAGTTGGAGCTCTCTCTACATGCTTCCGGACATTGCATCCTGCACTGGTGCATTTGTAATAGCTCCTGTGGATAAATAGTAATGCATCAGAAAACATCCTCTCATAAATGGACAAAATAGCTTATGAAAGTACCAATAGCTTGAGAGCTTAAAATCAAAACGGAAACATGGAAACAACCAAATATGCAAAGCAACAGAAACCACTATATTGGGTAAGCATGTCAAATTCAAATTGTTGACATTACAGGCAACAGCTTTGAGAAGTTTTATGATTAACTAATATCAAGGACCATAAAAGCAAGTTCTCCAAGCTCATGAGTTCTAACACCTGTACATATGAATAATGGAAATATAGTGAAAGGAGAAATCAGCCTCATCTCATTATATGAAATATAATGAATTTGAGAAGAAAACAATTATATGGCAAGTAAAAGGGTTAAACTAAAATGACATAAAAACTTCAAAGCATTAGGGACCTGAAAGGAATGTTAACAGGAATATAGCATCTAGAATCAATGATATCGCACTGCTTCTGGAAACGATAAAATGTTCAGACAATCATTTGCTTCTCAAATAACAGCCTTTTTTGTTTAAGCAATCTGAAGTTCGTTGCAATCCTAAAACTTTGTCTTGGTGTAACTTACATCTGTCTTGCAATAGTTGTACAATTACAAAACTGTAAAAAGAAATTTCATATGAAAATGAGGACCCAGAGAACAACTAACTTAAAATTTTTAATTGGGGAAATTCTATGGTTAGAGCCATGCAATTCTTTACTGATCCATATTCCATGAGTGTATTCAACAAAAAGTTACCAGGAATCCACTAGCATGAAATATTTTTTGTAAAAAGTACAAATGATAGATATGTAGGCAAATATACCACCTTGGATGAGGATTCCCTTTGACCACTTTCTGCCCGTACTTGCGCCACCTGTACCCATCATCTAAAAGATCAACTTCACTTCTTGTTTGCACGATGATCTTTGATTCTGTGACTGTCTTGTGTGACACAGTTACCTCTGGTTCCCCAGAAATGTTCCTGGTCCCCACGGCACAGAAAACTCAAAATTTGGAAGAATGAAGGAAAAAATCTGCATCATTAGTTAAGGTACCGGTTTAAAACTTACCTTCTTTTTGGATTTGGCTCATCATCATCCCCTTCTTTTCTATTATCTGCATCACCTAGTTCCTCACTGTCACTTGACTCTGGAATCTGTATGGGACCTGCTTGAATAAATTCCTGATTATTTCCCAGAACTGAATGAGCAGGTGCACTTTGACCTTGCAAAACAAGTTCAGGCTTAGCCTGAGAATTTATGTTTTCATTTACATCACTACCATCTTTTGAACGTCTACTGGGTTGAGGCTTTTCATGGTTGTGCTCATTTTTGTAAATTATCTGAGCTATTTGGCCCTCAGAAGAACGCTCAACTTTCTTTTTGACTGGACAATTCAGGTGTGTACATTTGTAGTAGCTTCTCGGAAATTCACTGCCCTTAATTGGCTTCTGCCCATATTTACGCCAGTTGTAGCCATCATCAGCAGGTTTATCCACAGCAACAGAAGGATTCAGGTGCTTTCCATCAGACTGAGAGACCTCTGATGTTTCCATCACAGAACTTTGAGGGTCTGAGTTTGCAGGTTGAATCTGCTTTTGTGAAGCTTCATCTAGACTTAAGGATGGATGATGTGCCAACATCTCAGCAGGAGCTGATACTTGTGCAGGTTGATATTCAGCTCGCATGTGCATATTAGATTGGGCTAGTACAGCTTGAGCCGTAACCTGTGCCAATGCCTGCTGATGGGACATTCCAAAGGGACTCTGCATGGATTTTAAGGAACATATATGAATGTATGATACAAATACAATATATTGATGTCTACTGGTGTCAATGCTAGTAAGAAAATATAGTCTGATAGCATCATAGTCAGCACCATCATGGTAGCACAAACAATTTTAGGTAGGAAGGGAAACAAAATCTAAACAGTTTTTTAATTTTTTTTTTTTCTTGTACCGCACATCCTTCCCACCTGTCCCTAAGAACAAACACAAACTAAACTGCATTCCCCACTCCTCCATGAAGGTTTGCGTGAGGGAGATTGATCCCTAAAGTTCTTCCTCCATTGCAAAGTCTAACTACCCATCTATCCTCTCGAGGACAATAAAAACTACACAGTTCTCACCGAAATTTCAAGGTTTCTAAATGGTAAAATCAAGTTTACTGACAAGCAGCATTTATCTTTTCTAAACAAATTTTACATTTCCCACAAATTCACCAGAACCAAATCTTCAATATTTCATGCCAAATGGTAATTTTTCATGGAGACTCACCACGAATAAATCCTGCATGAAGGACTGAACCCACCCAAAACCAGATTTAGTATGAGAACATACATACGAAATTATGTTCAACATTTGGACATACACAGCAAAAGGACTTATAACGTACACCACAAAGGACTTACAACGCTAAGGCACAGTGCAGCAGGAGCGTTGCAATTGAAATCAGTCAATTACACTTCCTCCCAATTCCAAACAACCCAAC